TTTGGATTCCTCCAATTTCACATATCCTCCAGATATACAAACTACCTGAGGTAAATAAATGTAAAACAATGCTTATCAGGAAGAAAGTGTTGACAAAAAAAACCCCAAATAACACAGCACTTTAGACAAAACAAGTAAGAAATTCATGAAATAGCTGTGAAGTCTTTGAGAAATTTAAAACAAATCTTAGCTTGTAACTAACATGAAACTTAGAATATTTAGAAAACATAAGTTAAAATACTTACTGCTCTCAGATGTTATCTGATTTCTACTTTTAACAGAATATTTTAAAATATACAATAGTTAAGTATTTCTACTCGCTTTACATTAAAATAGGAGATATTCTGAAGTAACACTGGTACAGAACTACCTGTTTATTAAATGTCAATTATTCTATCACCCCTGTTTGGGATATTTTTAAAAATCAATAGTCCCTAAAGTTATGTTACTATTTTTCCCCATTTGCTCTCAAAACTAACTCGTTCGTCACTTTTAGAGCTACCAAGACCAGTTTAGAATAAGAATTACATTCCAGCTATTACTGCATTTCTTTTAAAGCTTCCCTTAGCAAGCACAGGACTTATGCGAAATACTGAATGTATGGGAAATAAAGCTTGACACTGAGTCTAGCAAATCATGTTTTCAAAAATATTTTTTAAATATGCTTAGAATATTTTACATTCACAGTTCCAGTTTGTGATGATCATGCCATCCTTTGAATAGGTTAACAGCAGTGAGGGAAAAATTAATAATTACTTATATAGACTGTTAAGACTGTGTTTATAGTTCCAAAAGGATTCTGGGTTAATCAACTTCATTTGCAGAAAAGAAGCAAAAAGCAAGCAATATCAGTTCAACACCCTGAGAAACAGGCAGTCTTGCACCTAGACAAAACAGGAGCAGTGGGCTTTAGAGAACTGTCAAAAAGGATTAATTTTGAGGACAGTCACATAGGAAAGCACAGCTACAGGTTTTGGTCTGCTGAAACATTGAGCAAGCCAGATCATCCAACATGGGAGCTAACTAGTGGGAATTTGATGTGGTTTCTTAAACTTTGGGAAACAAGTCATGTACACTCATGAGCACAGACCTCCATTTCAGCTACACTTTATTCCATAAATAGAAGACTAGAAACTACTTAGGGCACTATGTATATTGGGAATTATCTTATATCTGAGATTATGGGCCACTCCCACATCTGCTGAAAAACATTAGCTGATCTACTGAGGAATTTTTCAAAAATGCTTTCTTTGGAGAATTAAATTACTTCTGTAGATGCAGTAAAATCTAATCAATGCATTTTCTGAACATGTTCCCTAGGTCTCTCTTTCTCATAAATATTAATGTACAAAATCAGAGGCCAAGTCATTCCAAAATTCATACACTCCATGTATAAATTTAGAAGGCTTAAAGTGGTATTAGCACACAGAAACAGTAAACATCACACATTAATACATTTAAATGTTGAGTATTTTCCAGTATAATATTCTCAAGGGACCTAATTAACCAAATGAAGATTTTTCAGATTAGCAAAGCAGCTAGATATGTAGAAGAAAATACAGGCTAAGAAGTTTGAATTTGCTCTAGAGACAAGCATACATTTTAATCTCTTCTCTCTATAGGTGCCTGAGGTGAAGAAGTGGCATTTCCCCAGGTTAGGTAAGGTTATTTCACATGAAGACAAAGTCTTGACTGTCAATTCTTCTATTTGTGATTATATTAACGTAAATTAAACCATTACAACTAAACAACCTCTAATCCAGGGGAGGATGATTCATAGTTGATTGATGTCTGGCATCAGATCAGGCAAGATCTTGGCTTCATGGCTATCCAGAAATTAATGACAGTGATTTCTTCATCAGATGAAGGTAGAATAAAATAAAAATGAGATAAATTTAAAATATCATAACACTAAATGATATGAATCAAAGTTGTCCAGTAAATGAAAATGGTTTCTTCCACTCAGTAGATTATCAGGCAAGTCTCTCACAGAAAGCACTTTGCTAGTTTAATTCATTAATCAACATTTTAGTAATGCTGTTTAAAACTACCATGGCATCTATCATTATAGAAAATATATAAGTAAATACAAATATTACTCTTTGCCCTTAGTGAGCTCCTGGATGTATATTTAATGCTACTCTTCCAAAATGTTAGTCTCCCAAAGCACACTTCTGTTGATATTTTAGTATGCCCCTAAACAAAGGACCATGAACAGAAAATTTGTCACAATGACAGAAATAAATTTCTACAGGGCACACACATGATTGTAGCATTTTATGTATTCATAATAACTTCATTTGTTCTCAAATAAATCCCACTGAACCAGAACAGTACTAACAGGCATTTTGAAAGAAGAGTTTAAAAATAAAGAATACTTTTTAAAGTTTGCTAACATATTGGCGTGTGTGCATATATTGTGCATATCTATTTACCTAATTCACATACACATATATGTACTCTTGTACATATACAAGAGTAAATGCGTATTTTTGATTGAAAAAGCAGCATCACTGGTTTTCACTGTCTATTTCAGAGATGGGGAAACAGTTACTTTTCATATGTAAGCACAAAGCAAAACACTTCTTTATTTAATGAAAAACAGAGTCTAGCTTTTACTGCTATACATAACAAACATTTTACATATACTTCTACACTTCCATTGAATTGTATGAGAATGCTACAGATGGTTTATAACATCTCGATTAGCTCATTTTTCACAATGGTCTTGTGACACTATATCATTTACAGAAGGTTTATTCGTCAAGATCCCATAGCACCTTTCTGACAACAGATGTTTTGAAATTCATCCTATTTTGCTTGGCAAAGATTTATTTTAATGGGTTTGACAGTATGATTTCAGTGAAGACTTCACATGCCATTTAGCTCAGTTTAGGAAAACTGAAAAGACACTCTGATAAATGTTCATTAATCAGATGAATGTTATTAAATGTTATCTAAAAGATGCTCTGTTAGATGTTTATAAAAAAAGACACTCTGATAAACAGTAATTTTGTAACTCTTATAATATATTTTAAAGCAATCAGCCCTATAAAATACGGCTTATTTTGGTTTTTTTCCCAAATGATTTTTTATTTTAAGTTATTATGCAAAAAATGTTTAAGTAATGACTTCGGCTTGATTATTTCTTCAGTTTCCTTCTTAAACAGCATGCAACTTTGAATCCACAGGTACTCCATGTATCACTTTGTGCATCAAGAACATACACAGTAAAAAGTATGATAGTATTTTTCATCAGGAATTCCTATGGATGAGCAGTAATTGAGACCTTAACTTAAATCAATGGATAAATATCATCATGTCTCAACATGAAGAGTTCTTAGAGAAAATAAACTCAGGGGTCTGACACTGCAGACTTTACTGGTGAATAGTCCTTTTTCTGATTATTCTTACTGAAATCTTCTGTATCCGTGGTACAGGTTAACAGCAGAGTTATATTCTAATCCAGTTCTCTTGTTCAAGAATGTCACAAAGTATCTTATGAAAACCAACTAAATGAAAAAGAATGAATTCAAAAGTCTCTATGAAGTCCCTTCTTACATAGGAAAATGTTTGGCATCTCAGTGCTGTGAGGCAGTCCTCTCCTCAAATGGTAATATAGTCAAATACAGAGTTTTCCCCCAAAATAAGACTGCACAGGTGGTCAAGCACAATTGTTCAATTAGCAAATCCTCATAAATTCATTTTCATGAATAAGTATCTCTTATAAAATCCACCATCTTAAAGAAAATACTCTAGTCTGCTTAATCACACACACAGACTGCTTAAAAAAAGCCACAATAGATTTTGCCACTGACATGTTCCTCCTCATCTTTCCTATATCATTGTACTATCTAAAAATGGCAAGACTTAACTTGCATTTAATGCAAGTTATGATAAATAATTTCACTGTAACAAAGCCACATAAAAATAAAATTGCATAGATTTTGTTGATTTATGCTTTTTCATGTATGAGACATGGAAAAGAGCCAGGAAGCATCAATCAGGACAGTTCCCTGATTATGCTTCTTAAAATTGTCTTCTGACCCAACCTAAAGAGGAGTTATAGTATACATACTGAACCACAACACATGGTGGCATTCTCTAATGTAACAGAGGGTGGTTTGTACTTTATCATGGATGGGTAGGTATTAGCCACATTTCAGGTAATACTTAACATTTTCACTCTTCACGATATAATCCTTTCGTTCTAAAACTACTTGTTTCCTGAGGACAAGTACAAAGTAAGTCATCATCATTTCTGAATGCTGTTGAATACCACAGAACTATTAAAAATAGATAAGTCATTGCAATATCATTTGACTCCTTTTATTTCTAGTGTTCTAACACAATGTACTGTATAGAATGTAATCACCACGGTACCAGTTTCAGTTTTCTCTGTTGACTACTGATCATCTACCCTGAAGAACTGCCTGCAGAACCTGTTGGTCTGCATGGCGAGGCTCTGGTTGGGGATGGGCAACAGGCAGGTGGACCTGCTACCTGGGTACCCATTGCGATGCTGAGAAGCTCTCCCACACCTCTCAGTGCGCTGACTGGGAAGTTACCAGACAGCGTGGAGCGAGACCCCTGCACTACGGCCAGGTTGCAACCACCAAAGCCAACCGGATGGCTCAAGGAAGGGCTGGTGAACGACGGCCCCCAGACACCGGACACCCAAAGAGCTTTCCACGCTGTGCGCTCTTTGTCCTTCAAAGAGAAACACGGGAGAGACGGGGACACGCGGAGGGGCGGGCAGGGCTCTCGCCGCGCCGGCCGCCTCCCCCGAGGGGATTCCTGCCCGTAGCACACCTGTCGTGACCAATACCGGCGCTCCAGGGCCGGCTGGGCTCGCCGGCCGCGGCTCCTCGGGGAGCCAGGAGCCGCCGGCTGGCAGGACCGGGGGCGGCGCCCGACCCGGGAAGTTTCTCGCCACAGGTTGCCCCCTCCCGTCCCCCCACCACGGGAGCCCGCGGGCGGGCCCGGCCACGAGGACGCACCTTGGCGCCGCAACCGCCGCTTCTTGAGCCCGAAGATGCGGACCTTGGAGAAGATGTCCACCAGGTTGCCGTTGCAGAGCCCGCGGTTCTTGCTGGGGCTGTTCCGCCTCCTGCTGGCCGAGGGCCGGTCCCAGTGCTGCTCCCTCGCCTGCCGCTTCTGGCGGATCAAGCCGCTGGCGATGGCCGCTGCCATGGCTGCTAGCCGGATCGCCCACGCCGGGCAGAGAGGCGGGAGGTGGCGGGGCGCTCAGCCCCGGCGGGGACCCATCCCCGGGGGACGCGGGCGAGCGGGAGCCTCCTCTGGCCCGAGGCGCGGCTGCAGAGGGGCACCTCCACCCTGCGGCCGGCGGGAGCTGCTGCCGCCGAGGGTCACCGCATGGGTGCCCCGCCGTCACCCCCGCCGTGTCCCGGCACAGGGGCACCTACTACCTGCTCGGGCGGGTGTCTGCGGGCGGGCGGAGCGGAGCGGAGCGAGCGGGACTCGGGGCAGAGCCGCGCCCGACCGGGTCGGATCGGGTCGGGTCGGATCGTGTCCGGCCGGCAGCGCTGCCCCTCAGCCCCGCGCCGCCGCCTCCCGCTCGCCCGCCGCTGCCATCACCGCGGCCGGGGCGGCTACCGCCGCTTCTTCCCGGCTCCCGCCTGATGATTGCCAAGTGCTTCAGAAATCAGCATCTGGAGAGAGCAATCTTCTTCTCCGGGGAGAGCTGTAATCACGGCTCCTCGGTCCCACCCCGCTCCAGCCTCCCCTACACACGCACACGCACACACACACACACACACACACACACACACACACACACACACAGAGGCACGCACCGCTGGAGCTTTTTTTGTCCTCCCCAAGGCGAGGGGCGGCGAAGGTGCAGGGGGTGGAGAAGGAATGAGGGAAAGACAGAAGAAGGGGGAGAGAGTCGGACCGACGGGGTGTTGCTGATGCGGTTTTCTGGTGGGAACCGGGGGGGTTCCCGGTGCATCCGCCTCCAGCTGCCTCTGCCCCCCGTTAGGGTTCCGGATGCCTTCGTTAGGGGCTCCCTCCCGGGGGGGGGGGGCGGAGGGCCCTGCGTGCTGCCGGAGTAGCGGATGGCCCTCCGCGTTCTCCTCCGCCCGCCCGAGGCACCCTCGCACGCACCCTCTCGCCAGCTCCCCGGCACCGGCTCCCTGCCGGCCGCCCCTGCCGCCCCCAGCGGTGACACCGGCACCTGTCACCGTCCCCAGGCCGGGGAGGCCGTGGGGGCAGGGCCGGCGGGTGAGTTGGCACCGCGTTCTGCCAAGGGCACCCCGCCCCGCGACAGCCCCTCTGCCGGACAACCCGCCCGCAGCGGGGCAGGAGCGCCCCACAATCCGGGAACGGACGGGGCTGGGGGTGTAGTCTGGCGGGAGAGGAGTTTCTGCCGCAAGGGAAGGTTTTAGAGCCATGAGGAAGAAGCATATCTACGAGCTGGAGGGCACCGTCAGCCCGAAGGAATAACATAGGGCACCCGCAAACAGCCGCGACAGGTAGACTTACTGATGATCAGCACCGTGTAAAATTATAGGCTGTTTTGGAGCACTTGAGGAAGCACCAGCCAAGTTCACTAGACACAGAAGCCTAAGGAGTATCTGCCCCGAGGACATCACAAGATACTGCAAATAGTAACTACCATGTAAAATATGACATCTCACTTGTTTCCTTTCATCTTCTTCTCTTTGCTTTTCTCCCTTTTCAAATAAGGGCTCAAAGTTTTTCGGATTTACTTTCTGCAAGCCTAATTGTTAAACTTCCTGAAGTTGTAACTAGCCAGAGGAAAGTAGAAAAAGGAAGCAAGCAGCTACACAGAAAAAAAAATGCAGTTATCCTGTAAAGAAGGACAGATGCTTGCACAGGGAATTATTGTGTAATAAATATCTATTTTTATACTGTTTACAGAACACTCTAATTTCTTATTAGAGGGGTTAGTGCTGGGGTTTTTGTTGTTGGTTTGTTTTGTTTAACAGGCTTGGAGGTGTAAATATCAATCCAGAATAATTAATTGATTTGCAATACAGTACCTAGTATGTAAGAGTATGTTCTTGTTTCAGCAAAGGCTTCAGCATCTCTGATATTGACCATTTTTTCCCTAAATCCTTTAATCTACAAAGCGCTATTTTTATACAGAGGGCAAAAGTGTATGGTGGGAACTCCAGTATACAGGGATTTTGTATTAATACTAGACCAACTAGGAACAGAACATGCACAATCGGATCATGATAATACATTTTAATTCTATTTAAAAGTGTCTCTAAAGAGATTCAGCTAAGACTCATTGGATTTTCTATCTGGCAATTTTTACAGAGCACCAATTTTCTTACAACGGTTACAATTGCCTTAACTAATGCAATTAGACAGAGAGGTGGTTATGTTTTCAAATTTAAAATTCACTGTAGTAATTTTGTATGCTGCTTTCCTTTTCCTTTCTTCTCAGAAGTGGACAAGACACGGTGCTGCCTTCCTTAAGAACTCTCAAGAGGGAAGCGGTCCTCCAAGTGCCACCCCAGTGGGTCTCCCTCAGCCCCGGCCTGGGCCCCGTCCTCGGCCCCATTCCCTCCCCGGTCTGTTTCTGCCTTCAGCACCACGGACAGCGGAGCAGAGAGGAGCAACGGGTGGCATAGGACATCCCGTGCCACCGCCGCGGAGCTGACAAGACACAGCCCAAAGTCAGCTCGACTTTGCTGGCTCCAAACAAAAGAATGAATGAGAGGAAGTAGAGTGAAATAAAGGCCAATCACCCACTATCTTTCATTTTCACAGGAATTTAGGAGTAGAATATGTACATACAGACCTAACATTAATTAGCATGAGAATCTCTCTCCAAAAAGATGTAGGTTCCACGTTCCCTTTTGCTGGAGGGACCTCTCTATATTGTCCAACGATGCTATGCTATATACTATCTACTACTATTGTTCCTTTTCCGTAGTCTCCTTCAAATATTGGGCCTTTGCCAAAACACATCGACATTTCTCAATGACATAATGCTTGGGGTGATGGCAAAGAAAAGAAAGAAAGAAGGTGAAAACGGGTGGTATGCCTATAGACAAAGAGAAAATGTGTTTCTTACGCCAGAGATCAAAAACAATAGCTTCGTACTCACATCTAAGAAATGCAGAGCAGTTGTTTACAGCTTGAGGTTTTGCAAAGAAAACTCAAGAGAGCCATCTGGTGTCTTAACCTGTGATAAAATGTGTGCAGTTCTAGTCGGAGTAAAGGTTTTGCTAACAGATGGATTGTAGAAGTATGAACATATTGGCTACCTTAAAGACTAGTAACTGTATAAGATTATGTATTTAGGACAAATATCTTACTTATGACATTTTTTACATTAAAACAGAGTCTTATTTCTGATTAACAACACTCTTGATATGAAAACAAATGAATAAAAGCCAAAGAGGGTGAGTAGAAATTTTCAATACTTTCTATTCTCCCATCTGTTCATTTCTAACTTGCAATTTATTATGGATTTCAGGAGTTTTCTAGAACAAAAACATTTTAGAATCTATAAAATTGCTTGCTTGAATGAATTTTAGGGTAAAAAATTCAACATATATAAAGTCTGTATAAAATACTTGCAGTATTATATACTAGGGTATATAATACCTGCATAATAAGAAACATTATTATTCCTTAAATTTATTCTTTGCTGTATTACTTGGAACAAACCATATACCATTTCGACTAATTTAACATATAAATTACAACATGGTATTTTCAGGCATTAATATTCAATATCAAAATTTACAACATTAATATTTGTGTATATGCATGTACTAGTGATACATAACACGCTTTTATAGGGACTTCCTTACAGGAAAAATGGAATTTAATCTTTATAGTCTATTGCAACCTAGACCCACTGGCCTCAAAATTTACAGAACTTAAAATGTCATCCTTATGCATCATGGGTTGTTCTATCTCTTCTTTCTTCCCCCCCCCCCTCCCCCGCTTGTATGTTTTGCATTAAGTTAGATAAAGTTAGAAGCTGCAGAGTAACTTCTGGTCAATGCAGACATGAAAGCTCTACAGAGTTCTTTCTTTTATAAACCATTTCAATATAAACAAAAATATCTTTCTACAGGTATTTTCCCACCTATGCACACTCCGTCCAAATTTTCTCCTCCCAGATATCCTGAAACCATTCTTCTTATCAAATCCAAACCAAAATAAATAAAATAAACCCCAAAGTTCTTACACACGTATATTTTATAAGAGTGTAAAATGTCAGATTATTACATTGCTACTAAACATGTGTAAGTTTCATGAGCTCTAGTGAAGTTTTTATAGCAATTCCTTGCCAACTGTAGGCCCACACAGCTCATTTTTCCAGTTAAATATGATGAAGTAGAGTCAACTTACCCTGTATTCTAGAAATCATTAGTAAAGTATTGTGAATCTAGATGTTCTTCTAGACCCTAAAGAGTTGAAGATTGTTTCATGTCTCTGAAAATGTTGGGTTTTTTTTTCTTTGAAAGATGTTGTGTGCTATAGTTACAAAAAAGATTAGTACCTTACTCCTTATATTTCCATTCAAATTTGAAAGGATGTCTTGGGGGTAAAGGTGCCAATTTAGGCCCAGCAATTGCAAGGTATGCATAAAGGTACATCTAGACCACTGGGAAAATTTAATATCATTCCAAGAAGTGACCTTTCAGGAGTGGAAAAAATACTTGTTTCTAAGTTGTGATGGATTCATTTAATCAACCTTGTGGTGCTTTTGAAAAGACAGTTGACTGATTACCAAGGTGCTGTTTCTAACTAAAATTGGCATTCTGAACATTAGTTGGTTCTGATAAAAAATTTATTGAAGGTTGCTGGTAGTTTTGTTGGACCATAATCAAAGTACCTAAATTCAATGTACATACTAAGACACCTGCCTTCCCACACAATGATATCATAAGCAAATGTGATAAAGGCCTACAAGTAGGATTATTCATATAATTTCAAATTGATATTTTCCCAAGACACACAATGTGTACTTACACAGGAGGGTGGGTATTGGTAAGCAATAGTAACTTTCAATTCTTGTTTTAATTTTCTTGGGGGACAAAGATGGAGCAAGAGAAATAACAATGACTTGAAGAAGATGAAACATATAATCTACTCTGTAGGTTGGTAAGTGTTTAATTGAAAAAATCTTAAGTTAGAAAAACATGTCAACGTAAAAGGTCATATTTGTCATGATCATACCTGTGTGAAAATATTATAACATAGACAAGAAATCCCTTTTCAGATAGTTTATGTGCATTCCATGCTTATAATAAGACTAGTATGCTTGTGCAATGAGCTTTAAATTGGGTCCATTTTACATATTCTTGTATATTAATCTGGATATAATTCTCCTTAAAAGTTATTGTTAACTTCTCAAAAGACAAGGCACTGGGAAGCACTGAAATTTAAAATCTTTAACACCCTGAACACTTGATGCTCATTGATTAGAATTTGGAGAGCATTAAGAAAAAAGTTTATTAAACATGATAATATACTTCACAAAGTTTGGAGATTTTGGATTTCTATACTTTAACACCTCTCTGTATCAAAAGCACTCAGCTTTAAGTCTCAACATTCAGAATGCACTCAAGGAGCCAAACTCATACCTATTAAAATCTACTGAATACATAGGAGTTCCTGTGGAGTCACTTGTTTAAATAGGTCAGGTGAATCCCTTTAAACAAGACAAAAGTAAGCTTTCAATATGTTGTTCAGAGGACTGCACATAATTTAGCCACCTTCTTCACAGGCTGTGGACTCACTTGACCTTATGCATCCAAGTCATAAGAAAAACAGTTAAAACATAATAAGTGCACATACAAAAATAAATTAA